GTAGACTATTATTTTGGAGTTGTATATCAATTATCATGAAATGTTGATTATCCCTTGCTTTAAATTTAAGTCAAGAAAAAGTTGGGATTATTTTTGGTGAAATAAATGCGAACTTGCTAGTCGATTAGGGTTGGCTTGCCTAACAACGGCGTTGGGCGCCATCACGACCTATAATGAAATTTGGATCGTGACTGATGATAGGCTATAATTACGTATTTTAGTCGCTTATTACACTCAAATTTACTGCACTTTAATTGAGTTTGAGCTTTAATCGCTAGTGTCTTGCACTAATTGTGTATTTTATGCCTTGTAGGGGTGATTCCGAGCTATGTAGATATTATGGAATGAATTCAGGTGATTTGGAGCTTTGAAGTCTGAGTAAAAGCCCAAGGAATTAAGCCGAGATCGTGTTCGGGGATTAACGGATGATAGAGCAACAAAACAAAGAATCGAGTAGGCATATTGCACACTGTCTAGTAAAATACACATAACTTTTCGCTCAGAACTCTATTTGAGGTCTACAATATATGGTTGGAAATCTAATTGAAAGGGCTACAACTTTCATGTTTTATATTTTTCCAAATTTCGAATGGAACAGGGTGAAAAATGCGGTCAAAACCGCGATCGCGGACCTAACGCGGACTGAGGCAGTACACTAGGAAAGTACCGCGCCTGGACCGCGGCCGCGGCCGTCCAGGCCTAGAAACTTGTCCATTTTCGCGTAGGAGAAGGTATAATTGTTTGGGCCCGAGCCTACTTGGTATATATACATGGAAAAACGGTATTTTGAGGGGAGGAGACCAATTTTTGACACAGATTCGACCTAAGGATGCAGAGACACAATAGGAGCAAGGCGGGGAATTCTTCTACGAGTTTTTCCTTCCTCTTCCTATTTTTCATTGTTGGTTATGACTTTTAGTATTGTAGTTTTACATACTATTATGAATAGCTAATTTGTTATCTAGGGTTTTGATGGAACCTTTTGAAGGATAAATTCTTGTTATGTTTTTATATAATTGAGCCGTAGTATTTTCTCTATTTGTTCAACTATATTATTCTTATAGTTGATTGAAGGGCCCTCAATTAGCTGTGCCTATTTAGTATGTATTACTCGGGAGAGAGTGCATATTTAGGTAGTTGTTGAATCAATAACCAAGGGTTTAAAGGTGGGATTAGGGATAACGAAACCTTGGGTGCGATCTAAGTGAGCTGTAATTAAAGCCAGCTAGCGTAACTCGGGAGAGTATGTCTAGTAAATTGACATAATTACTCGGGAGAGAATTACAACACGCAGAGTGCTCATGATCGGTAGAGAATACTTAGGCGAAATTATAAAAGACATAGCGGGAGGGATTCCGACAATTGGGAAAATCATAACTCTAGACCTCCTTAATCTTTTCTCCAACCTGTAGTATCTTTAGTGTTAGTTTATTATTTTAATTTGTTAGTTAGTTAGTTAAACACAAGAATCTTAATATCTATAAGTTAGGAATTGTTCAAGCTTGTATTCTTGGTGATAGTGAACAACTGTAGCTAAGCCTTAGTTCTTTGTGGGATTCGACTCCGGACTTGTAAACCGGATTATATTTACAATGACCGCTTTGTCCTTTTTATAAGACATAGTTGGGCGTGATCAGTGACATAGGCCAACAAAGAAAATTAACAAAGATTAATATATCAGAATGTCGTAATGTTAATTTAGTCAGAACTTAACAACAACTTAGTTTAGTAAACTTAATCCAAGATCATCTCTAAACGCTATCTAGAAAATTTGACTGCTTACAGAATAAAAGAGGTCCTTTGGTGGTTTAAAACAACTAAAATTACTACATATATTATAAGGGATTTGGCATGGCATGACAGCTAGGTTCTACAATCTATATCTATATTATATTAAAAGCACGAAGGCTTTTAACGAAATGTCGTTTGCCATTTTCTCCCTTTAAGAATATATTATAATATATTGAATAAAATATTAATTTAAGTTATTTTCCTAAAATTTAGGGCTTCAAAATTAATTATACTTTGTATATTAAATACTTCTTTATTTGAAGTAGGTAATCCTAATATTTAGGACTTAAAAATCAATTACTAAAATTTTACCTTAAAGAATCATTAAAGAAAGAAAAAACCACAAAATCGATTACTGAGATTTTACCTTAAAGAATCAATAAAAGAAAGAAAAAACCACAGACATACTTTTACCATGTTTGTTTTTCTATTCCTGTTATTAATAAGAAATATGTGTAAAGAATCATTAAAAGAAAGAAAAAAAAATCACACACTTACTTTTACCATGTTTGCTTTTTCCGTTCCTTTTATTAATAAGAGATTATATTATATTTTTAATTCTAGAATATTTAATAAAATACTATTAGTGAATTAATGTTTACCTACAACAAAAGACTAACTTAAAACTAACGCCTTTTATCATTCCAAACTTGATCTTTATAAACAAAAAAGAAAATCTAAAGTCCTCCAAATTAATGTTAATTATTATAAAAAATACTTCATTTAATAAGTTATCTAACTATTTTATAATATTTAGAAGTTTAAAACTAATAAAACTTTTATTTATAATTTTTTTCTTATTTGGATTGAAAGTCCTAATATTTAGAACTTTAAAATATTAAAATTTTACTTTATATAGATCATGCACTTAAATTACGCGAGATGCCTTATGCACCGTGCTGCCTTTTTTTAATTCTAATTCTAAGTCATCTCTGGATTAAATATGTCATGGATGAGTCTTCTTTCGATTATAAATTCTCCCACACGCTTGCTTTAGTAACTTTTTAAATATATATTTATTATTTTCATTGCTATTAATTTGATTTTGCTATCATATGAAAGTTGTAGATTATTCGTTGCTTGATTATATATGTTTTAAGTTCTATCTTTCAGCACTATTTAGGTTTTTAAGAATTTGTTCTTGCTGAAACTGAAAAGGAAGATTGATAACTTGTGAATTTAAAGTTATAATAATATTAAATTAAAATAAATTTTAAGTTGAATTATTGACTTATGATTGAGGATTTTTATGAGACCTTCTTTATTTATTGAATTATTATACACAATTAACATATATGATCATCTTCAGGAACTTATACTTTTATTTATTATTTAAACATAAATCTTAAATAAATTAGTTTTCATTGAGATAGAATAAATGCGCATCGCGCGTACCTTGAAACTAGTTGGCATAAAAAAGCCAATGTTTTAGGATTTGGCATATGGTAGCCTAACATTATTCTCTCTCTTCTAATGATTCAACCACCATCCTAAAAATAAGCCCCATCAAAATTATTTTCCTTAAAAATAGCAAAAAATATTTTAAATCCTCTTTCTCTTCTCTTATAGCAACCATCATCTTAGAAATTAGGTTTCATTTCCTTCAGTAGTATCCGAAAAACTTCCAAGTATTTTTTAATTATTTTTCGGGTTTTTTATCTGTATATCCAAATATATAAAACACATTAATAATTATATATTTGTATATAACAGTGTATAATATAATAATAATGTGTATATCAAAAAAGTACATTAAAATTTTATTTTCCTTCTTTGTATACACATTTCAGATTGGAAACTCAAGTTCAAGACGACTCCACATGTGTATCTCCTATTGTATTCCATGCATATCTCTATGTACATCAGTGATATCTCATGTATATCATGTATATCTGTGTATATCCATGAAAATTTGTGTTATATAAACGATATACAACGTGATATACACGGGCGTCCATAAAAAAATATGTTGTATACACGATATACAAAGTGATATACACATACGTCCTTAAAACCCTGTGTGTGATATACACTGATGTACATGATATACAATGTGATATACACATGTCACAGTTGGATTTTTAGGTCTGATTTTTTTTTTACCTGAAACCAAATCTTGCTAAAATTTTGTATATAGCCTCGTTTAAGTATTTTTAACCAATTTCAATCACGCCCACTCATTCAATCCAACCAAAAAATAAAAAGAAGAGTGAAGAAACAAAGTTGAAATGTATTTTTTTCTCTCTGAGTTTTTGCTTCTGATTTTCTCTGATGTGAGATCAACCTTACCTTTTCATACCGCTGATTTTTTTGCATAATTTGCAAGAATTTTTTCTAAGCTATGAGAGTGAAAGAGAAGAGATAGAATAAGAAATACAAGGAAAGAAAGGGGGAGAGAAGCAGCAAACAAAAAGAGAAGTGAGCGACGAAGGGGGGAGGGGGGGGGGACGGGTACCGAGTACCGGT